GAAATTGGACGAACAGGTCGATTTCTCAGGCTTTTGGAAACAGAAAAGGCTCCTGGGATATCTGCTTAAGATGCATGTTCCTGGCAGAAGCGAAGCTCAGAGGTAGGGTACACCTTTTTGTTTGTTTCATCGTTTCCTTTGTCTTGTCTACATTGGTTTGATTTCATTCCCAGCACCCACAAGGAGGCTAAAAAGTCTATAGTTCCAATTCCAGGGCTCTCTTCTGGCCTCCATGGGTACTGCGTATGCTTGGTGCACAGCCGGACATGCAGGAAAATTCCTCATATACATAAAATAAAAATAGTAAGTTTTTAAAAATCATAACTTATTTACTTATTTACTTTTGGATTTTTGAGACCAGGTTTCTCTGTACAACAGCTCTGGCTGTCCCAGAACTCACTTTGTAGACCAGGCTGCCCTAACAGTCAGGTTAGTCCTAACTCACAGAGATCTGCCTGCCTCTGCCTCCTGAATGTTAGGATTAAAGGAGTGTGCTACCATACCTGACTGTTAGGATTATAATTATGATTTTAGCCAGGTGTCATGGCATACTCCTTTACTCCCAGCCCTTGGGAGGCAGAGGCAGGCAGATCTCTGTGAGTTCGAAGCAAACATGGTCTACAAATGAAGTCCCAGGCTAGCCAATGATGTGTAGTGAGACCCTGTCTCGAAATAAATAAAATAAAATAAAAAATGAACCTAAATAAGAAAATGAAACAAAGAAAATATAGCATATAGTAAATAATAATAATAAACTTAACATTAGTTTGCGTGTGTGGGCATTTTGCTGCCTTGTATGTAAGTATACCATGTGCATGGGACAGCCACCATGTGGGTACCAAGAAGAGCAATGCTGGCTTTTAACTACTGTGCCATCTCTCCCGCCCCTGCAGTTTCTGTTTTAGTAAGTTAGTTTCTGAGAAACTCCCAAGGGATGCTGATGCTGCTGGTCCTAGGGTCACATCACAGCTTCCTGACCAGGGCTGAAGCTCAATTTGTCCTGCTTGTCTTACCAGCCAGCTGTGCAACCCTAAGAGCTTCTCTGAACTTCCATTCCTCTTCTGGACGTTATTTAGGTCAGCAGCAAATGTAGACAGCTTCCTCCATGCCAGCTGCCCTGGCTGCTCACGAGACAGTGACCAGAAAAATCACAGGTTGATCCCAGGAGAGCTGCCAGGCTGGGGACTCAGGGGGCCAGTTGTAACATTTAGAGACCTTTTGGATTCTAAAATTCCGTGACTCACTATCAGAGATAGAACAGTTTTTTTCTTTTTAATTAAATTATTTTTATGCGTGTGGTGTTTTGCCTGCATGTATGCCTGTGCACCCCGTGGCATGCATTTCTGGTGCTCAAGGAGGCTAGAAGTGGAGGTTGGATCACCTGGAACTGGAGTTACAGACAACTGTGGGCCACTATGTGGGTCATGGGATAGAACCCAAGTCCTCTAGAGGAGCCAGCCATCCGTGGTCTTAAGTGCTGAACAATCTCTCCAGTCCCTAGAAGAAGACCTTTTCTTCTCAGGAAAGCTCTTAATTATTAGCTCTACCTACAGATCTGGGTGTGAGGAAATAATAAATTCAGAAGGAACCCCAGATCAACGTTGCCATTTTACTAACAGGAAACCAGACCGAAAACAGGAAGAGTTGACTCCAGAGCAACCAACTCATTTTCCAGTTGCGCTCACCAAGACAGTGTTAGGTCTCAAAGCCTGGACAAGCTGCTGAGAACACATCAAAGCGGACCTGGTGGCCAGGTTCTCCCAGCATCCCTCAGTTCCTACCTGTTACAGAGTCTCCCTGGCTAACACATCCTACCCCTACCCTAAATTCTCCAGCGGGACTGGGCTGGACCTGCCCTTCTCCCACCTGTTCTTCCCTATATAATCCAGCCATTTTGGCTATGCATGGTGCTCTTTTAGCTCTTTTACCTCCTGGCCGCTTCTTGGTCTCTTGCTCTCCGGGCCCCCTCCTCCCATGGTTGGGTTCAGTCTACCACCGACCTTGCTCAGCCTGGACTCTTCCCTCTGCCTGCTTTCTCTTTATATCTACAATAAAAATCACCATTCTTAGCCCAAAGTATGTCTTTATTTTTATTTTGTCTATTTTATTTATTTTTTTAATGGAGCTCTTTTTTAAAAAAATTTATTATGCATACAGTGTTCTGCCTACATGTATGCTTGCGGGCCAGAAGAAGGCGCTATATCTCATTATAGAATGGTTGTAAGCCATCATGTGGTTACTGGGAATTGAACTCAGGACCTCTGAAAGAGCAGCCAGTGCTCTTAACCGCTGAGCCATCTCTCCAGCCTCTGTCCTCCTCCTTTTATTTCATTTTCCCATTCAGCTACTGGCTTTCCGGTCATGCTTGCAATGTAGCTCAATGGGAATAAAATGGCTGAAGGCCTAAGGTCTGTCCCCGAGAGGACCCAACTCCTGCAACCTGCAAGTTGTTCTCTGACCTCCACAGGAAACCCTTGGCACACCTCCCCACAAAAGAAAGAAAAGGCCTGGTGGCACATGTCTTTAATCCCAGCACTCACAGGCAAAGGCAGGCAGACCCGAGTTCGAGGTGATCCTGGTCTACAGAGGAAGTTCCAGGAGCCATCATGCCTGCCCTGTTCTTGTTGTTGTTATTGCTTCTTAGTGTTGCAGATTTATTTTTAATTTTTTTTTTTTGAGACAGGGTTTTCCAGTAGCTATGAAGTCAGTCCTGGAACTTGCTCTGTAGACCAGGCTGGCCTCAAACTCACAGAGATCCGCCTGTCTTTACCTCCCAAGTGCTAGGATTAAAAGTATGTGCCATCACCACCACCTCACTTTTAATTTTTTTTAAAAAAAATATTTATTTTATGTCCATGAGTGGCCTGTCTTCATGCACACCAGAAGATGGAATCATATCCCATTATAGATGGTAGTGAGTTACCAGGTGGTTGCTGGGAATTGAACTCAGAACCTCTGGAAGAGCAGTCAGTAGTGCTCTTAACCTCTGAGCCATTTCTCCAGCCCCCTATTTCTAATTTTTAGTGTGTGCTTGAGTGGGTTTGTACACCTAAGGCAACATCCTGGAGCTAGACAGTCACAGGCAGCATGAGCTGCTGAGTGGGTGCTGGGAACCAAACTCTGGCCCTCCGAGGGCAGTAAACAGTCTTAACCATTGAGCCATCTCTCCTGCCCCATTTTGTTTCAGTTTGTTTTTGAGACAGGCTCTGGGTATATATATCAGGGTAGTCTGAGATTCACTATGTAGCCCAGGCTGGCCTTCAACTCATAGCAATCCTCCTGTCTTTGCTGACACAGTGCTAAGAACATAGGTGTGTACACCATAAGAGGTTTATCCTTTCCTTCTGGGTGTGCCTGGGATTGAACCCAAAGCCCCTCATATGCCAGGCAAGTGCTCTACGGCTGAGCTGTATCCCCCAACTTGATCAACTTGATTTTCTTTTCTTTTTTTTTTTATTTTCTGAGACAGGGCTTTGGAGTCTGTCCTGGAACTTGCCCTGTAGACCAGGCTGGCCTCGAACTCACAGAGACCTGCCTCTCTCTGTCTCCCAAGTGCTAGCATTAACGGTGTGTACCACCACTGCGCCCATCTATTTGCTTTTGATGTGAGGTCTCTATATGTTGCCCAAGCTAGTTTCAAACTTTTTTGATTGTTGTTGTTACACAGGGTTTCTCTATGTAACAGTCCTGGCTGTCCTGGAATTTGCAATTTAGAACAGGCTGGCCTCAAACTCACTGAAGTCTGCCTGTCTCTGTCTCTATCTCTAAAGTGCTGGGATCACAGGCACACACCACCACAGCCCAGAAGCTTAAAACTTATGATTCCCCCTTGCCTCAGTTTCCCAAGTGACACTACATAGCTATATACCATCATGCCCACATTGATATAATAAAACTGTTCACGAACTCTGTCATGGATCGTTTTGTCTTCAAGTGTAGTGTGAGTTGGGTATGGTGGTACAAGCCCATGATGGAGGTGAGGCAACAGGATACCAGTTCAAGGCCAGCATGAGCTACAAGGTGAAACATTGTTTCAAGAACAAAGGAAAACAAAACAAAACAAAAAACCCAAATGAAACAAACAAATCTAGTGTTTATGCTGTAGGATATTTGCATCATGGACCTCCCCTATTCAAGGGCTCAGTAGTTTCCCTTCTTCCTGGTTTAATAGCACAGGCAGATTGTATATCATCCTATTGTGGGCCAATTGCACATACCCAGACCATCAGAATTCACTTCCACCTGGAGCTGGGGACATGGATTGGTAGAGTGCAGGTACGAAGCCGATTCAATTCCCAGTATCATATAAATGGAGTATGGTGGTCCATGCCTGTAATAGCAACACTCCAAAGGTGAGGCGGGTGAATCAAAAGTTGGTCATTCTTGGCTACATTTTTAGTTCAAGGCCAGCCTGGAGTACGTGAGACCTGGTCTAAAAACAAAACCATTTCCACCAGCAGTAGCTGGCTTCATTTTTATATAAACGGGACCAGAGACTCTTTGGACTAACGGGAGATTCCTGTGATCCAGCTGGATGGAATCGCCCCTCTGGGAAGGACTCTGGCTGTCCCTGAGTCCAATCTTTATTAAGGAGTAGCAGAAAAGGCTAACAGCAAGATCACCCACATTTGCATGTACAAAAGGAGGCCAGTCACCTGTGCCCAGAGAGAAGGGCCCAGAAGTCTCAGCGCCTCCTCTCCCTTCACATCTTTACCCCTTTCTTCTGTCTCTGAGCAGTTGCTCAACTAAAATGAAGTAAAATTCCCAAGCTTAAGTGGGAGTTGGAAGGAGCACTCCCAGCTTGCCCCGTAGGTGCACCTCACTCTTTCACACTGGTTACATAAGCTGAGCTGCCGACGTGCCTCGCTGATGGCTGATGAGCGTATGCGCCTGCACCCCTTCTCAGCCAGAGGAGTCACTCGGGTCTTTCCCTGGGTCTGAAATAGTGGGGAACTGAGGCATGTAGCGGCAGAAAACACTTTTATCACTCCCCGAGGTGGGCCAGTTGGTGGGTGTTATCCCCCAACTGCGCAGCTTCTCCAGCGCGGCCTCAGGAAAAACCAGTTTTGGAAGCACCACACCTTGGGTCAGATGATGCAACGTGATATTAGCGTCGGGTTGCATCAGCGGTTCTGACGCATGTGCCTTTTACGCCGACAGAAAGCAGTATAATGGGGCCGGAGAAAGAGACATTCGCTGCCTGAAAGCCTTTTAAAGGCGCCCTCAGCGTTTCTAATTGGCCACACAGGGTGTTGTCGGGAAGATAAACGCCCAACCAGCCACCTCCCCCGACAAGCTCCGGCATGCCGTTTCCTGAAACCGGGATCTGACGGCACACTTAAGGCAGAATTCTTTTCTGGTTGGTTTTAATGTTTTATACCAAAGCCTCAAGGTTTAATCTTTTCAATCTTTTCGAATGCCCGGCCTATTAAGAGGCTTTCAAACGGTGCTCCTATGTGGTATTGACCTGAATATCTCCAAAATGCACCAGTTGATGCTCATCTTCGGAGTTGTTTTACATAAGTGCTTCCGGCTCTCGGGGCACACAGACTTGTGACTTTATCAAATAACTTAGATTTGGTTCTCTTGGAGTCTCTGTCTGTTTTCAGAGTGAATCCCCACCCCCTGCTTCTCGATATAATAAAGAATGAACCGCAAAGACCCTAGAACGCTCTAGTCAACCAAGAAAGTTGAAGAAAAAAAAACTTTCACAGTAGTCAACTCCGGCACTTGAGAGAGGGAGGAAAGAGGATCAAGTTCAATGCCGGCTTGGGCTACATGGTGGGTTCAGCCATCCTGGGCTGCCTGAGACAAAACAAAACACTAAAGAAAACGAAAGAAACCTTTGGTAGAAGAAAAAGCGACACTGAGATGCAAGCCTTCCCCTGGCACCAGCCAAGTCGATCTTTGTCCAATCGACAATCCTGCACGTTGCTTGCCCGGTTCTACGAGCTGGCGCCTGTCGACTTCTCAGCCTTGCCATTTTAATCTCACCCCAGCACCTCTGGCCACTTCCTTTCCGGGGAACCCTGCACTATTCTATGGGGCTGGGAAAATGCTTTTTCTGGCAGGTCGGATTCTTTAAATTGCTCAACTCAGCTTGCCCAGGAAACGCCTTCCTTGATCCTGGAATGGAGTAAGTACCACGCTTTTAATTATTTCTTAATCTTTCTCCTTACTCCGCCTTCCAACAGGGCAGAGATCTTGTTCTCTATGTCTGTACTTTCAGCATCCAGCTCCCTTGCATCTTGTCTTGCTTGTATTGGGGGCGCAGTAAATATGTTAACAGAAAAAGAAAAACTTTTCACCAGAAAAAGTTAAGTCCACCTATGCCCCCCGCCCCGCTAATTACTACTTTCTTAGTATATCAAACCTTTATGTAACTTGACCATGTTACAGCACCCGGCTGCATCCTGGGGACACATCCACGGCAAGTAAAATCTAGCCTGCATAGGAGAAAGTTATTCAAATTGTATTCATCTTTCATTCCAATCACTCAATTAGGGCACGTCCCTCGTTGGCTGCTGCGTGAGCAAAGCAACTATTTTCCAGCGAGTGTCCTCAGGTGACCTGTCTAGACGCTCAGAGGAAAAAACAAGAGAATCTGACACTCTCTGGAGCCCCAAAGACGCCTGTGACGCGCAGGCTGCTCTGCGTGGAAGGGCGTGCGGAGCGCATAGCGGCGGGCCCAACGGGCTTGCGGCGTGGCGCCGGGTGCCCGGGACGCAGGCTCT